GCCTCGGCTCTTCCCCCCTTGAGCCGCGAGAGGCGCGCCGAGCTCCAGAGGGCCTTCATGGATATGGTCCTCGAAGGGGAGAAGGAGAAAAGGGAAGAGCTCGGCCTCAAGTTCATTGACACTCTCGCCGGCATTACTGTTGAGCATTTCAGGGTCCTAACTCCGGCCGAGATCAAGAAGGAGGTTGTTGAGTACGCCGACAGGATGACTGCTGCTGCGGCCGAGATGGATGTTGATGCGCCCCGGGTTGAGACCGAGCTTGTCACGGTGACTGAATCAGCCGACCCGGGGACAGTGAAGATCACAGTTGACCCCGACGCCCTTGACGCGGCGATCTATGCCAAGCTTAGTGAGCAGATCAGAGACACTTCAAGAGATGCCGACAGCGATGATTCGGAGGAAGTCGGGGAGGACCCGGCTAAGGTGTCGGGGGATCCTGGTAAAGGTGTTGGTGAGCCCGAAGGTTCTGGCAAAGGAGCTGGTGGATCCGCCCAGTAGGATTATTTTTCTTCTTTTGTTGCTTTTAAACTGTTTTAGTCACCTTGTCTATTTTAATTGAAACTTTGTTGTGTCGGACGGGGATCGTCAAGTCGACACGTCCTAGCTTTCCGCATTTTTATTGTGTTCGCAAGTCTTTCCCCGGGGTTTATGATAATAAAATCTATCTTTTCAGTTTACGCTTCCCTTTTTTGCTTTCCTTTATTCTTCCAAACATCACGATTTTCAAACAGAAGTTCAGGAGCGAAGTTCGAAAATGGCCCGACCTTTTTATCGCAGCTTGAGACTTAGTATGTATGGACAAGTTTGTTCAACTTAACCGCTTTGAACGTGAATAGAAGTTTGTTGATCGCAATCGTTTGTTAACAAGAATCCAGCGAAAATATATTTTAGACTCGAAAATGCTTGATTTGAATTCACGAGTTATCTTAAGTACAAAGGATTTCGACACCAAAATTCTATATATAAAAGATATTTGATTTCACAAAGACCGTCGCGTTTACTAAACATTTCGGGAAGGATTATCATTGGGAAACTCGTCTTACTTGAAAAAGGAGAATTTTCTGGCCAACCGACTCTCTTCAGTTTTTTCAATTTCGCCCGGGGAAGCCCTTTTAGCGGATTTGACTTGCTATGCGGTGGCTCTTTTGCGGAACGTCGGCGCGGAGACCGACTAGTGGCACTGAGGCCGGTTTTTGCAGAACGTCGGTGCGGGGACCGACTAGTGGCACGGAGGCCGGTTTTTGCAGAACGTCGGTACGGGGACCGACTAGTGGCACGGAGGCCGGTTTTTGCAGAACGTCGGTACGGGGACTGACTAGTGGCACGGAGGCCGGTTTTTGCAGAACGTCGGTGTGGGGACCGACTAGTGGCACGGAGGCCGGTTTTTGCAGAACGTCGGTACGGGGACCGACTAGTGGCACGGAGGCCGGTTTTTGCAGAACGTCGGTACGGGGACCGACTAGTGGCACGGAGGCCGGTCTTTGCAGAACGTCGGTACGGGGACCGACTAGCGGCACGGAGGCCGGTTTTTGCAGAACGTCGGTGTGGGGACCGACTAGTGGCACGGAGGCCTGCTCGGTGCTACTGAAAGTATTTCTTGAGGTACACCGCATTCCATGGGTATCTTTGGGGCGTACCGTCCAGGCCTTCCAACCTGTAGGCCCCATGTGGCAGCACCTGACTTATCTTATAGGGCCCCTCCCATTTCGGCTTTAAGGGGCCGGGGTTGGGCCCCGTTACTCTCTTCAGGACCAAGTCCCCAACTTGATAAGTTCTGGGTTTGAGTTTAGAGTTGACATAGCGCTCGCTCCTTTGTTTGTAAGCTGCATTTTTGAGTTCGGCTTGTGTCCGCAGCTCCTCGACCAGGTCGAGGTTCATGCGTAGGTTGTCGTCGTTTTGGTCCTCGGTGAAATTCTCTACTCGGTAGGTAGGCGACCCAAGTTCTACGGGGACCATGGCTTCTGACCCATATGACAGAGAGAACGGAGTTTCTCCTGTCGATGACCTCGGGGTTGTTCGATACGCCCACAGGACACCAGGCAGTTCTTCTGGCCAAGCACCCTTCGCTGCTTCTAGCCTCGTCTTCAGA